TTATTATTTACTGCACAAAACTGTATCTTTACAGAGTCACTCGGGTTAATAATCCTGTCCACTGCTGAAAGACTAAAATGTCTTCTCAAGGATCGCCAAAGACGTTTACTAGATCAGAAGTTACTGAGCACGATAAAAGTGAATCGTTATGGCTGGTAGTACACAACAAAGTATATGATGTAACCAATTTCATGGTGGAGCATCCTGGTGGAGAGGAAATATTGCTAGAAATGGCAGGCAAAGACGCTACGATAGCATTCGAAGAAAATGGACATTCTGTTGATGCCCGAGCCCTAATGGGCAACTATTATGTTGGAAATATTGAAGCTTCGGAAGTTCATGAAGATGAAAAAGCTCGCCTTTTCCCAGTAGCTATTCAAGATAAAGATACAAACGGATCTAATTTAGGCGTAATTCTTGTTGTTTTAATAATTGCTATATTATCTTACATATTTTTATCGAAGTCATCGTGATCTCCATGTGCGGTACATGAAATTAACACGGTACGACGTAAACTAAGTGTATAATGTAACTACAGTACAACACACATTGTCTAGTAAACATGGATTAATGTTGTACCTTAATTAATAGTGGTTCACGTATCCATTTTTTGTCGTACCAAAATTAAAATGCAACTTCATCATCATCCAAAATTCATGTAAAACCATTATTGCGTTTATACGTGTTAAAAATTCTCGTTAATTTTATTTGCACTAATTTATGGAAATGGTTAAAATTGCAATAAATCCAATTTAATCGATTAAATGGTCTACTAATGTTATGTGATACATACATCTTCATTTGCTATCAAAAGAGAGTGTAAAGAAGACCCATTTTATATTTAGCGTATGCAGCTACTTCTATTTGAATTATATTTATGGTCATTGAGTCATTAGATAGGCCAGAAAAACGATAAGTACGCGTACGGCTTGAAGGATTTAAATCATTGTCTATAGCTCAAAATTTTCAATGTATTAGCTTAACACTACATAACTTCAGCGATCTAATTATTATATTATGAAAATACTAGTATCTAGCAATATACGAGCAAATTAGCCCATAATACGGGTACATCTATATATACTGTATGGCTACACAATACCACGGCTAAAGACTAATAACTGCTCATGCTAACTGCCCGATAATTTTAGATTTCCTCAAACTTGAATGGCGATTTAAGTTTTATGTCTGCACTACACTCTATAACTATTGCTATTATATCGGCTAATTACCGTGTCAGGTATATCATTTAAGATTAAGTTTTTACCAGATTAATTTCTATAATTCTTTTCTTAAATGGCTGCAGTATATCGATATTTGGTTCTTTCTTAAATTGTATATCGTAGGCAATATTATATTAAATAATAATAGATTCATCAAAATTTATTAGCCTCTATCTAAGCAAATAGAATTATTTAGTAAAAGTATATATTAACTTGAGCTTTAATGAAGCTTTTTTTAGATATGATACTGACCCATGGCGATTAAGAGACTTTAGCTTGCTCAGATTTCTATAAAAAGAACTACTGTAATATTATAAAGTGTTTAAAAATAATGTAAAGTGATGAATTATTTACTTTTATTGTAGAAAAATTTTCTATGTGTTAATGAAATTTGTACCTCTGTTATATTATAGGAAGAGCCCATGCTCTCATACGATATAGTTTACCTACGAATTTTAGAATAGAGTCATGGATTACTAAAATACATGGATTACTAGACATGTTATAGTAGTCCACTAAAGGGCACGGTCGGTTGGTTAGCATACATAACGTTGCTTTACATTCTAGTTGACATCCACCGTGGGTGCGACATCAACTGTAAGTAAATAGGTATCCTGTTGTACTCTAACTTACTTATTTGTAACTGAAGTTAGAAATTTGGCAGCACCTAGTCTATAAGACACCATTGCTGGGTCATTACTTTATTAAATTGAATTATTTGAGACCGTAAGCCGAGATAACCTCCTATTCATGTATGTATCATACCTACTATTCTTGTTACAACTAATTCTACCAAGATCCTAAAATTATAACGAATCTGCTGGCTTCAATCAATCACACTGTGTGGTCTTACACGTATTTATGATTCTTTATGGATTTCTTTCTATTCTGCTTCTTAAATGGAAACGGTATTTAATATTTAATTTAATATTTAATCAGAACGTGGTTATACAATAATTTTTCGAATATCCTTATATTCAGATTTCATCATGAAAAGTTATCTATCATTTTACAGGCTTAATCAAATAGTAAACTATATTCTAATTATAGCATCAAGATATAGCCGTCAGCTCGCTAATTTTACTTCTATACGATTTGGCCCTTTCTTAAATATAAATTGTACAGCAGAGGGTTGAATGGGTCTTATAGCTAAAGTAGTTCCACTTAATTAAAAGTATACATCAATAATATTTAATTACCTAATATTAAGACATACATATTCGTGCTAACTTCAGTATTTCATTCCATGTAGTTTATAAATTCGGTGTTCGGGATTGTATATCTGGCGAAAGTTTGTAATTTTTTATGTTAAAGTTTTTTAACCATGGGTAATTTCCCTCAATATAATATCTATCGGCATTATATCTGCAGGATCATCCAATTGGATTAGATCAGATGGGTCATCAAACTATTTTATTCCACGTTGGCAGTAATAGTAACTATCTTTACCATAACGATACTAGTTAAAATCGAAGGTACCGTAGCAAGCCAGAATTGGCACTTAGCCAAAAAGATACCATCAGCTTCAGCATTCAATGATTCTTAGCACCTTGCTTTACTAGATCTATCAATACAATACTGGAAGTTGTGTGCGGTGACTACATTAGTTTTCGGTCGATAAATCTATGCTACCACCCGTATGTAGTCATAGGCTAAGTTTAATACTCGGATACTGTCCAAAATAATCGGCTTTCCAGACTATTGATATCGTTATCTACCTATCTGATACTATCATGGAATACTGTGGCCAGTTTAAAAGGCTTTGGAGATTAATTACCAAGATTGAAGTTCAGTATGTTATTCATAGGTAAACTATGCATTTTAGATCAGTAATAGAAGGTGAAGTTAAACATGTACAACCTCTGCCTTTGATTGATATTTAAGTTAGTTGTAGTCTCTTTGAAAAGTAACCGCAAAGAAAAAAATAAATACAGTACTATTTTTGTAAAGCGTAAACGACAGGTATTAGAAAATAACCGAAAAATTCTCTTGGAGCTCCAAAGTGTGCTAACTCATCTAGCTAATATTACCATCCGTTAACCTAGTTTAATTATTGCAATAGCAATCAAGAACATGATAAACTTTATCATTTATACGACATATTTTTCATAGCATTTTATACATTTAGTTTAGGAAAATAGCTATCTGCCCTTCTTTCATGTTATATGTCTAACTAACTTGAGGATTGCTATGACAGAAGTGAAATTCTCGTAAAGAGTAGAAAATTCATCTTTACAACTTATGAATGTTAGATCAAATAGCATTATATACCATATGTTACACTTTATTGGTATTAAAATGAAATTTTTAGGTCACCTCGTTCCATTTAATTATGCATTCATATTGCAGAGGATGATTAATACCGATTTATCCTCTAGGAAAAAATGAGAAGATTATATCATAGTGTCTAGTAAAGACAGCAATGACGATGCTGTATCTTGCCTTGGTACTAGTGGTATGTGATTCATCCTATTAGTCTGCGACAAAGTTATTCACACTAATATGAATATAACAATTGATTATTTTACTCATTTTTATCAATGTTGCATCTTCTAATAAAAATGATTCCTTACATCGTTACGTATTTGCAATCAGCGTGTGCCCCAAGTTATATACATAAGTAATTTTTGCAAGATTTCACTATAAATGCTTTTCAGCTTTTATCACACATGACGAGATTTTACACGAACGTGCAAAAAAATATATAGCTACTATTATACCATATACTCTGAATTTTTTTACCAGCGAAGTCGGCGGGTTCAAACTCGAATTTTATTCCATAGTTGCACTTATTTATAACAAGAAATATAAAAATATCATAATTTTATTCAACGTTCCAATCAGTGCTAAGAATCTTATATATTAAATATTAAAAAATTTGTGTTGCGTACGTAACGCTTATCCCGACCAATTTTTGCCAGCGAAGTCAAACTCGTAAATTTATTAGTATTACAAATCTTACCTTGCAAGATTAATTACCCTAGCAACGTTTTCGTAAATTAGCTCTACTATAACACGATCTAATAAATATTGTATTTTAAATTCAGTAGATCTACTGATCAAGTACTAATTCCTTCTAGGCATTACTATATTGACCATTAAAAATTTTTCAAGACTACCATAGTGTCTATAAAGGTTTAAAATTAATACATAGCCTACGAAAGCCTAAACTTTACTTCCATAGTCATTGGTTCGCTCCGATAGTAGCCTAAAGATAACCTTTATTTGTAGTACCGACTAAATAATTTAGGATTCTCATTGAAATGATAGGCTAGATTTATTTTGAATGATAAAGATGCCGGGTAAATTAGAATGTAAATTATTATAATAGAATATTTCTTAAATTGGTTGTAGTTGACAAATGTATAGACAATTTCTAAGTTTTAATCTTCGCTACCATACACTGCAGTAATTGACTTATTTAATTTTAAATAGGGAAACAAATTGATATAAAGAGAAAATAGCTTGTTACTTTATGAATTATCATCTTTCTTTCCTTAATCAATCAACTAATATATAGCTATTCAACACCAATTTGTACGGTTTTCATAGATTGAGGCCTACATTGCTTGATTGTACATGTACTTACTAGAAAATAACCTTTGCAATCTACTAAAGTACAGCAATTTATTAAACATTCAGTTTCGGTGCAATGTGATTTATTTTAAATCAGTCAAAATGTAAATGGTTACATGCTCCTTCTATTACATTGAATTAATCATTAACAACGCTACAATTAGGAATTGTATAGTATGACGCAGCCCAGAAACTATACGATCAACCAATTGCAGATTAATCACCGAAATTTTGACTATAACGTACGTTATTAAGCTTTATGCAAATAAAATTTTAACTGAGAGAGTCCAAGTTGCATCTGGAGAAACTATGAACGAGTAATGTATTTTTTATGTTGGGTCATTTGAATATTATATATATAGATCAATTATTATTAAATACTCGCCCTTACACCTGGCTTAAGCTACAATTAGCAAATAAAGGTAGAAATTGAGATCGATGATATCACTATTAGTATTTAATATAGCCAAAGTTCGTATCGATACATTTCAATTTATATCTTTCATTTGTAGGTGCTGTAACAGGATTGATTTATGCAAGAGAAAATGCTGTACTAATGGAGATATTTTCGTAAACTCCAATCCGTATACAGTAAATTAAGGATTTCTTGAAAATGTCGTAACTATGTTGGTATAATTAGATAGTAGTTAGTTTAACGCTGTTAATACGGTACTCCATAAGTGCTTCTATAAGAATCTACATAGTTGAGGTAAATAAACATTTATGTTTCATATAGATGCACATAAAATCAGAAATATCTTAAATATCATTATTGGAATTAAATTTGCTAAATTCGAAAAATTAGATGTCCAAAGTTCAAGGCTCTGCACGACATGAGCAGAGATGAATCCTGCTGTGATCTGTAGGACATGCTTTACACTTTCATCCTTGACGAATATAAAAGGCTAATTTTGTTTTATGATCATTGTCACGTCATTCCTTTATTCTTTGGTCTAATAGCAATATATGTGAAATAAGTAATTATAGAATGTCATATTATCGGATAAAGTTTAGTATGACCTAAATGTGCTATCAAACCAGTATCTGATAGAAGCAGCAGATTACAAAATTAGTAAATTATAACTTATTGAGTAAGACGTATAGTATCTGTGATATGATTAATTATTATAGCCCAAGTATACAGCCGTAAACAACTACTGCAGCTGTGTGAAAATCGACTTGATCAACTTTTGAATTACAAGTTAGAACAGCTATTTACAAATCCTAAGAAAATACCTTGAACGAGGAGTTTATTTTTGGGCGAAATTTTTAGCCGACCTCATGCTGATGGCAAAATACGCGGAAAGATTTAGACCCCCTGCTTGGATTTATAGCAATTTCTGAAAAAGTGTTGAAGTGATGCCCAGCGCTTAAAGCATAAATTTCAAAGCTTACCCTCCTGCTCCGATCATGCTTTAATTCTGACCGACAAGAGCAGAAACTATCCCAAAACTGTTGCCAAATTATCTCTGGAAATATAAAAGAATTTTTAAAAGTAATTCTTTGAAAAACTTTCTGATCTTATAAATCATTACACTTCTATCAAATGAAGCTGACGTATGACAAATATAGAACGTGCAAAGTCCCTTGTATTATGCCAGTATAGAAAGACTGGCAAAACCAAACCGGTATGTTATAAACAATTTTCGTCCAATCAATTTGAGCGGTTTTGACATTACCCTTTGAACATAAGCAATGGAATATGCACACTGCATATCTTACTGTAAATATAAATACAACAGATGCCGCAATATAATACAGTATAAAGGCAAATCAATCTAGTGATTAAACCGCCCTCACAATCAATTAAATTTTCGAGCAGGATATACTCGTTTATTATTTCTAAACATGAGAGCAGGTGTAATGCTACTATATTTCCGTTAAGGGAGAGTATATAAGCACATCACAGGTAGAGGTACAAAGACTTTTGCCATATTTTGATGTCTCATACGTTGAAAAACTTACTTTTCGTCACCTTTTCTTTGATATCTGGTGAGATACGACTAAAGAAAATAAGATACAGACTGATCATATCGCAAGATCATACCATACAAAATCTGTAAAATGTAGTCCACTTCTTAATCTCCATTTACTATATTTTATTCTTTATAAGTAATATATAATTGTGTTTATAAGCATAATTTAATTGAAATTGCTCATTTTTTGGCTCAATTTACGATGCAATTAGTATGATTACGTTAAAGAATTAATATTGTCATTATAATTCTTATAGGATAGAATCTATTGTCATGGGATTTCAAGGATCATCTACTACTACTGTCTCAGAAGTAAAAAATAAAGCTACAGCTGTGAATGACGAATTGCCTCCTCTCAGAGAGCAAATTATTTGGAAAAATGTTCTTAGGTTTGGGTTCTTCCATGTCCTTTACATCAAAGGCTTGACTCTTCTACCTTACGTAAAAGGATGGTCAATAGTTTGGATTTTTGTTCTTCATTTTTTCGGATCGCTTGGCATAACAGCTGGCGTGCATCGCCTATGGAGTCATAGGTTAGAAATTTAGTGCTTGTTAAGCTATAGTACCATATACACTTACATATGATTACTCAGCATTTCTCCCCAATACCTTAGGTCATACAAAGCATCGACTGCAATGCGTATATTTCTTATGTTGTGCAATTCCATGACATACGAAAATAGCATATTACATTGGGCCAGAGATCATAGAGTTCATCATAAATTTACTGATACTAATGCTGACCCCCACAGCGCTGGTCGAGGATTTTTCTTCAGTCATATCGGCTGGTTATTGGTAAAGAAGAACCATAGAACTAAGGAAGAAGGAGATAAAATCAATTATGATGATTTATATCAAGATAAGGTCGTTATGTTTCAGTACAGGTAGGATACGTGCTTGATGATATTTTAAAGACTTTGACCCATATTTATCACTATTAAATGATAGCTAATAATTTTTCGTACTACTGTATCGATGAAAATTACATAGGTACTATGGACTTACAGTGTTGGTGTGCTGGCTCTTATTTCCTCTATTAGTTCCGATGCTAGCTTGGCAAGAAACCTTCATGAATTCCCTCTTTGTATGCGTATTTTTACGTCATGGAATGATTCTTCATGCTACATACTGCATTAATAGCTTCTCGCATTTCTTTGGAATGAAACCTTACGATCGCCACATGAAACCTACAGAAAATCATCTTACTAACTTTGTTATAGCTGGTGAAGGTTTTCACAACTATCATCATTCGTTTCCGTATGACTATTCCGCTAGCGAATTTCGCATATTTAATGTTTCAACATTATTCATCGATTTTTGCGCTTTCCTCGGTCTAGCTAGTCATAGACGTAGAGTGTCACCAGAAGCGATTAAGAGAAGGATACAAAGGACTGGAGACGGTTCTCACAAAGGCTAATTATTATTTGTTGGTAAAACCCGTAAAATAGATAACTTTTATCTGGAGATGCTGGTATAATGTAATAAATAGAGCATAAGTAGGGTTCTATATGATCTTCTAGAGATTAATAATTATAATAGTTGTAATAAGGATTTACTCTAGTTCGGTTTACTTCTGAACGGCTTGGTCACAGGATTACGTTTAGAATTAAAATACTTGTTGTAACTTTTATTTTTGCGGCGATGAATTGCCTATGTACGCATGCAGGTGTAAGCATTGAATCAATAAAAAGAAAATATTTTTCTGCAGAATATTTATTCTCAGAATCAGTCATACATTAGTCTATGCTGCTAATATATTTTAAAATTTCCACTACAGTTCAGAATGTACAGTATAGTGATAGTTATTATGTTGTTGGTCGACGTCTCGCTATTGTTATTGACAGGAAATAATCTTTAGTTGGCGTAAAGTATACCGTACTTCCATAAAGAAATTTAATTTAGATTTCCAGGTATTCATCACTATATCGTTAATAATTATGAACAATTTATATTTGAAGTTTAAACTTTTGTATTAGAAATTGTCATACAAAAACAAACGATATAGTTCAATAACTTAAATGCATACCTATATTACCCTTTTTTTGGCATGCTTTAGTCTAGAGAATATTTAGAGTAAAATTCCCTCAACCTAGTTTAATTTAACTTCATTAAATAAAGTTAATACGGTTATCACTTCATTATTATAAGTACGGGTTTATGTAATGTATTTAGATTTCACTGTAGTCTTACCATATCTTTAAATATAGACATTTTGTGTTGTAACGAATACATATAGCTTTGCAGTCTAATTCTACTATACTCAAATATAGCGTGTTACGTTTAGTTATTTATAGCACCTGCAGCCTTCGCTGTCTCTTACAATCTTTGCTATTACTTTGTCTGTTTATAGTAAATGTCTCATCTAATTGTAAAACCTGTTCTCCTCATGTATTCTATCTCTTAATCTATAAATACTCGATGATTTCTGCCTCAAATTTGTTAGTTGCACTAGTCACAGTAGTAGTACTTCCATACGATACTACACCACAGCTCACATACTGCTATACCGTAACTACCGCATTGAACCTCCGTTAGTATCCACAATACAGTATCCACTTTAATTAAAACTCCTTGTATAAATTCTGTGAACCGTTACTAAGCCTACAGCCGCTGACTCTTTCAACCCTTTATCACAGCATACTTCTCACACGTTTCATGCACCAATTTGGAAGTTCAAAGTTACATTAAAATTAGTTCACACCTTCACTATGGACTATTCAGACATGCCTATCTATTTCATATCTACTAACTTGTAAATTAAGAATACAAGATAATGAAATTATTTGATAGACATTTAGCTAGATCTACGCCTAATTAGTGCCCATTTCTCTATATTTTCAATCCAGTAAGTTGTTTCGAGATTTTTGTCTAAGATGCCATTAAGTAAGACGAATATAAACTAAAACTGCTGGCATGACATTACGCGGAACAAATCTATTGTGATTTTGACAATAAATAATTTACCATGCTGTCAGTACGTACCAAAAATTGATCACATAGATATGAACAGCGATTGCTGCAAAATAGTAGCATTCATATTGGATTAAGTTATACAGGAATAAATAGATTTCATTTTAAGGCCGCTTAAAATTCTTAAAATATAAAGGCTTGCAAGATCTTAATTAAATTAGCTACATGATTATATAACTAAATTGCACTACCAATTTCCGTTAATAACGCAAACAAATTAGTTAATACCAGTTATTTTTCAAATCAACTGTCAATGACAAGTGACTTCAATAGTTTTAACTCTGAGCTTGGTTTAATCTTGACAAAACTTATTCTTTATATTCCATATTTTACTAATTTATGAATCGAAAAATTCGAATCTTAAAGATATCAACAATAAGTTGCATTTAGATATCTTTCAAATCGATACTAATCACGTAAAAGAGGATATTTATTAGTATATGAATTTATAGATAACTCTTGATGCATTTCAGCACGTAACCAACAGGTACAGCTTTTCATTTGATAAAAAAAATAAATAATCGATAATAATTATGTAATTCTAATACTTATAACATTCGAAAATGCAAATTGCCTATGGAACGATAAGTATATAATGAAAGTAACTTTAGGAATATGACACCTACCAATGTAGCATCACATGCACATAGGCTTATCTAGAGGTTAGATTTCCGGATGTATATGCGTATACAGTGTACAAATTACCAGCAAATATATATTATATAAGCTTTAACGGTTATACTTTTCATAATGTTAAAGTGCAATATATGCAGCATTATCTATCATTATTGATAGCCTTAGTATTGCAAGTATTTAATTATTACTAGACAATAGAAATGTTCAAAGTCATATAATTTTTTGATAATTAACTATTACTAAAAGCACAATAAAAGCCACAATCAAATTTTCTTACTTTATTGTATGACTAAATTTTGCTGATGCATAGAGTACTTTAGTCAGTATGACTTTTGTAACTTATAATGAACATGTATAAACAGGATTAAGTTAGATTAACAGCACAGTATATTGGTTAGCAAAATACTCTTATAAGATATCGTTTATCAATGTCCTAATACATGAAAAACTAAATTTTAAAATATCATCTAGTGTTTTTCCTCGGTAAATATCTTAACTGCTTTGTTATTAAAAGGTAATAGGTATTGTTTTCTCCTTTTCGTAATATCACTATATCTGGCTGATAATGATTAATAAATGTTCATTACATGATTTTCGCTTTGATTTATTACGGTTCGTTGCTAATAAGTTTTTTAATATTATTATGCAATCAAATAAAAATTAATCATACTTATAAGGCTCATTTCAACAGTCTTCACCTTTTGCTCCATAACATTATAAACTTATTGATGAACGTAATTAAAAGGTCTTCGAAATATTAGGTTGGAACAGTACAGTAGGCTATAGTTGATAAAATTCTCTAATTTTAGAATTTTGTAGGTAAAATCGTATATGGAGTTTCTCTACTATTATAAAACTCTAACTAACTGCTAAAATCACATGCTTATTTTTATTAGAACTATCAGCTGGCTACTCCGATAGATCGAAACGGAAGATGCTTAACCGATCAAAATAGGTATAATGTACGTAATATAGATTTTATAGAATTTTGCTCTTTACATAGTACTTTGCAATCGAAGTCAGACAGATGCCGATGTTTCACTGTTTTCATGAACTGATGAAATTACCCACAATCGTATGCTATATATATTTGTACTGTATTACGATTATATGTTGTAAGCTTGCTAAATTCATCTCGTAAGCAGATGTCAAGCTTTTGTTTTTAAATAGCAGTTGATCACCCTTTAAATATCTATCTGCCAATGCACTGGTCAACATTAGAAATTAGGCATCATCACAGTATATGTATAAAATAATTACTTAATTTTAAATCTAGATTAGCCAATAAGTAAGGGTCTTCTACAACTAATGATCCAAACACCTAGGGAATTTTAATTTAGATAAATTTAGGATCAAATACTGTATAGTAAAAGGTAAGTAACAATGCCACTCGCTCTGGTATGATTCCATATCACACTTAATCTAACTTCTGTGGGCTTCAATCAGTATCATTGCCAATTCTACTAGTAACGTCTATATTGCACGCGTATAGTAATATGTACTGTATGTTATACAAAATGAGTCCCAGAATACAATAATTTAAGCAATTACTTAGTCCATCACCCTTAAAAGTAAGTTAAATTCAACAAATTTACTATATAACAAGGACTGCCTACATCATTTAACAAAATATAAGTTGTGTAAAAATCTTGATCGACAGACAAGATCAGCTAGTATATCAGTAATCAAAGATTAATAACAACCTCAATCAATGGGTTTTATTCAAGAAATCTGTCAGTTTTAGCAAAATACGACCTTCATTGTTGAAAATGATCTTTACTCAGTTTAAAAATATCGGGCTAATTGGTAAAGTAAGGCCTTATCAACATTCCATATCATCTTATCTATTTACGACACCATGGGTGAATTGACTTAAGCTGAATTGAGATCTTTAAATTTTCTACTATTACAAATTAAAAGATACGCTTATTACAAATAAAAATCTAAAATTCGTGACTCGGGGAACTTTCCTAATTAAATAAATTATATTATATAATACAATGATTATTGAATTGGTTAGTTAAATTGTGTAAATATGCGTTAATAGTAATGAAGAGTAAATGCTAGTATTATTAACAATGAGTTCCGCATGAAACAGTATGTGGATCTTAAAAAGAAAAAATCAATTACTAAATTGAATTTTATAGGTTTATAATAATCATAACTGAGATACTCACAGCATAAGATTATGATACGAGTATGCAGTACTGTAAGCTCATAATGCCCAGTATACCGTTTACGGTACAGCTCAAGCTACCAACGTACTGAATATTTATTTGATGAGAAAATCGTGGATTTGTGCTATTCATTTTTAGATTAAACCGACATAGCTAGAATATTAAATTTAAAAGTTAAAATCCATAAGCAATTTACTATTTTTAGATATAATTCTGTTAATAAGCTAATTATAAATGAATAAAATATTCAAATATTTAATTTTAAATTAGTATTACTGCAAAAATTTCAGTCAATAATCATGCTATTTATAATTATTACTTATACGCGTACATACAGCATTCAAATAATTCTAGTTCATACATCCAGTCTGAATAATCTTTCCGACAATCATTTTAGTTGGCCCTCCAAAAGAAAATACCTATTACTATATGAGGAATATTAAGAAGGATGAAGAATGATTTATAGTATACTTCAATATAGCATTTTAATTTTTAGTCTACTCTCATGGATCCTGGATTGCAATTATTAGCAGAAACTTAAACTTATGCATGCTCTAGTAAATATTAATAAAACCTTCCGTATTCCTATCACGTCATTTTAAATTATAACTTTATTGATTAATCTATGTCTATTACTGACACTCCAGTAATACATACGTTGTAATAAACTAGAATAAAATTAATTATCCATGATACAATAGCTGAGTCTAGTATATGATTATATTAAAAGTAGTGTACTAATTATGACAATATTGCCAAATGCTTCACTTCGGTATTTGGAATTGTCCTTTACCGCCCTAACCTCTTAAATTCATATTAGTAAAGTTATTATCAAGCTGTACGATTACTACTAGAGCATCTGATCTAAGATTATGTAGTTGCAGGCATTAACGTTGTAGGGAATTTATTTCCTGCAAGGTAGCATTTATTGGGACTAATTAATTCCATTTAGTTTGCGACTTAGCTGAGATTCTTGAGATGCTAATTGTAGCAAAATCTCCTCTACTTAACTAACACCCTAACACTAATTCTTTCTATTATTGTGAGATTTCATAATTGAATATTCCGATAAATAATTGTTCAATATTAGAAAATGTAGTTAATTCGCAAGCGCAATTAGTCAACTCAGAAGCGAAATTATGCTCATACCGGCTAGCATTACTGCGTCACGTTATTATCGTACGATGGATAATATAGGGAAGCGTTACAATGTAATGCTAACCAATATTTATATGTAGAAAGCCATACATGTCTTTAGCAGTTGCCGGATAGCTTCAGATAAAGAGGACCTAAGCACGCGTATAGCACTGGCAGTTATTGGATAGCTCTGCATCTATACGTACAGTATATTATATAGCTACATACTGTATAACGAACGGATACAGACAGCCATATATAACACAAACAATTATTGGTGGCTCTTTTCCTTCATTGTGAACGGAAGTGGCCGGTTAGTTAAACATGCGTATATCTGAAATGTATCATTTTGGTCCTGAAATATGTCATTATAGTAAGGAAAATCAATCAACACATATTTTATTTATTATATATTTTAATCATCGTAACTTTGTTATGTTTTAAGTATTAGATACCAAATAAGGTCAAAAATATCATTTTACCTTTGAACTTTGATTGTCCGACACCGACTGATTAGCTTGAGATAATCTCATGTATATTATATTACTAGTACAAACTCACGTCGCTTTGCTGACGGTTTACGATAATGTACCCATTTGTTAATTAACAGATAGTATTACCATTCGATATTATATATATCCCGTAATAGCCAGGCTCTACTATATATTCGCAGCTATGTTTCTAGAATACTACTTTTCAATAATGCATTTACGGATGAAATGCTATGAATTGCTAATATTAAGATTAGTTAATGGTCCAAAGCACATTATGATAACTAATGTACGGTGATGGACATAACAAGTTAAGATTAGCAGGTACTGTAAGATATCTACAATGCGGGACAATGTCGTTAGTACTGTGGTCAATTCTATACCAATCATTATTATGTGTCTAAGGATCGCTTGCTCTGTCGATAACAACCGTTATAAGAAAATGGAAGAATCAAAATGGCTGTGTAGAAAACTCTATAAAGATTCTATGTTTATTCAATTTTCATCAGAGTATTACATCAAATCAGAATTGAAAGGCCCAGTGGCCATCCTTAGCGATATAACGAATACTATTTTAAAAATCAGTACTCTGTAGAAATTACTACCTTTTTAAGAGCTATCGTTTTACATGAAGAAATCTTGAGGTAAAAAATACTGTAAGAATCTTATACTGACCTATTGAAATGAACCCATAATCACAGTCATCTAACAGTAGTATAAATACCCCGCGCTGCTCAGGGTGGGTGGGTTGGATTTGTATATTAGGGTAAGTTTTTAGAATTTGTCTTGCCATGATATCAAAACAAATATCGTAAATGGAAAACAAACAATATTTGATAGGTGGGAGAGTGAGATAGAGTCTAATTCGTGTAATGATTAATCACTGACTTGCAATGTTATAAAATCTTGACTGCAGCACCATACTGACCGGTTATTACCGCGCCTAAACGCACAAAAATCTATACGTTAGTAGAATAGCTCCAAATTATATAATTAAGGCTTCCCCTTATTATGTTATTTCCATATCAATATCTCCCTAATGTATTTCTAACCACAATAATTGTATATCAGTATATGGTACTTATGAAAACCGCTCAAAGTTACCAGCTGCAATTGCTGTTGAAATAGTGAGGTTGAGACTATGATTTTACTATTTTAGTATTCAACGGAATCGATAATAACGTCATCGAATTGTGAAGGATTGCATAAAAATATTTATAGAATTTACTATAGTTCAATAACGTTGATACTATTTGCAGTACTATTAGAAATATGTTTGAATGGGATATATTTTTTAGAGGTTTTAATAATTACAAGTATATCAGGATATGCATCGAATAAATTTACCGTTTTACTCCTACAAAATTAATATCCGACATGTAATTATCACAAATTGTCACTTAAAGTGGCATGATCAAGAAGATATTATCTAAGTAGGCAACTAATACTGGGTATGGTTATTTATAAAAACTACACTGGGTTCGGATCCTATACCGGTACTGTATGTATGAGAATATACTTATCTTTGTTAAAGCGGTAAATTCTAAGCGAAATTTTTCACGAAAATCATCGACAGATTAGGTTTTAATTGTTTTTATTTGGTGATATTGTTTTTATAGAGAGAGAGCGTCCGAAACGTACAGTACTATCCATCTTCAGGTATAAAAATATATATATTCGTGATACAGGAGAAATAAACGTATACGAGAGGTCTTGCTGTCTTCACCTAATATTTGACAGTTATCGCGATTGGACTGTACTGAAATTTTGTTGTAACATGTGATCAAATTCATGAGATAACTGAATAGTATAAAAGTTAACCTTTGTTGATATAGATATTTATACATTGTCTGAAATTACGATCAAGTGCTATTAATTTCTTTATGTGCAAAATCCGGCAAAATACTATGGTCTTTAAGTGTGCATTTGGCACCAAGTAAACCTATGTCCCCAAATCGTACACTTAGCTCGATAGGAGACATTCAGACATTTTTCTAACTTTCCAGGTCATTGAAATTCTAAATATACTATTTCTTCAAAGTATGCAAAAGTCCTTAAATGTAAGAAATTTAATTCATCTATCGGTTCTTTTGTGGTCTTGTAATGTCTTCTACCTCTAGACTATAGTCTATTAAGGTTTATAGATGCCAATTGCTAACGTTACCCATATTCTAATAGCCCTATAAATAAGTATGTCCATCCTTACTATTTTAAAATGTTTATCTTGAATCTATTAAGAATCTATCCGAGAGACATGTTTTGTACATGAACGACCCTTCGTATCGCTGATTGTCAGCGATTTGCTTTTTTATCTTATCGTTCGTTTAGTTTCTTTCCTTGACCTCTTACTGAAATTATGAAATTCAATCAAATACTAATTTGATTATCTTCGAATGCGAAGTGACGATGTCCTGTGGTTAACATCACAATGTTAATGCAGTATACGAAATTAACATTCTTAAAAGAAGGCATTATTACAATTTTACAAAAGCTACGGAACTTCTGATTATCGGAAATAACTTGGAAAGCATGATCTAAAATAAACATTAATAAAAGTTATTATTCCTTTAATGGTTGAAAGTCCGTTTTTCCGGCTAAAGTTCAAACTAACTGACACAGTATGCCGCAGCGTGAAGATTCGATACGCTATTTAAGTCGAAAGAGTTAAGCTTTTATGCTTAATCATCTGAAGGATCGCCGCTCGCTTGCAAATTCTTCAAAGAGGTTCAGGTAATAAATTTTTTTTATATCTACTTACGGATCCAATTGATAATACATGCGCTTATGAAAGTCTGAGCGATGTATAGAATAAATCTACGTCTACAGAAGAGTATTAGAAGCATTGAAATAGGCAACTATAAATGATACATTAATGACGGTAATATATTTCTTCCACCCCTGAACAGCAATTTTCAATATTAATTAATTATCAATATAATCTGACAAATAGCCAGTAAATAAATTTTTTCACCTCTATAAAGCTTTCTAAGGATAAAAAATCTTATAAAATCTAATCGTTTACATACCTATTAAATAAGTTTCAATTGGTAAAAGTCGTTGAATGAGATTAAAATACGATTTATAATTTATAATCAAAAGATTCGATTTCATCATTAATACCCGAACGTTTAGTTGATATAATTCGTTGCTTTTGGTAGTCTTATTACTGTAGCAGACTATTAGAATAGAATGACTTGACATTTAAGCTTTAGCCATTTTTAACTCTATAACAACTGCTTTAGCTGGTTAATAAGATTAGAAAATTATCTTGAACTCCAATACCAAGCGATTGATTTCTAGAAAGGTTTAGAATAGTAAGAAGATTAAGCTACGAGCTGTTAGAGAATTATAGTGCAGTCCCAAATAAGCTTAAGACTAAGATTAAATAGTCGTATTGCAGTTAGATAGTCTTTCGTAGTTGTGAAACGGATCTAATCTTATGCAATAAAGTAAAGTTTGCAAGAAACTGTAGTTCTAGTATTTTTAGGAAGACGCTTTATCGGAATGAATGAATTTCAATAGCGGATATCAACTTTAGTTAATTACCGATACTTTATAGAGTTTTAAAATTGGCAGAAAATTGAAAGTATTAATATTGTATAGCGCTAAGTATTATAATTTTATGAGTTTATAATAATCAAGTGAAACTACCTGTATTCTATTGTTTATCTTTGCGATAAATTTAATTCATATTTATCCTAATAAGATGTTCTAATAACTATCATAATAATAGCAAATTGTAATACCGCTTATCATTTCTCTATATTTCAATTGCATTATAGCTATGGCGCCCTTACCCTTAACAAGTACTAGAACATTGATAACCAAGGAAGGAGAATTTGACCTCGACTTCGTAAAAGAGGCTGCACAAGATGAAGTTAAGCCGCATCCAGGAAAATACCATACCATTGGTATATTATATCATACATACTATCACATACTGGCATGTGTGGGCTTTTACCATCTCTTCTATCTCAAATGGCAGTCCCTTCTTTGGGTGATCTTTTATCATTATTGTGGTATCATTGGAATCGGTACTGGCGTTCATCGGCTGTATTCCCATAGGTTAGTCGATTGACATACTCATATAACTAGAATCTAGAAAAATATAGCAATTATCTTATTGAGGTTCGTATAATTCTTTCTATCACATGAGTTGATGTAGTCGTAACCTGTGTTAGGATCATTAAATAGATACCGTTAGTAATTTCATACAGTTCAATGCTAATTCTACTTCGGATAATATTCTTCAATAACTCTACATTCTGTATTAAAATAGGGCTTTCAAAGCAACTGTTCCATTAAGAATTTTACTACTCTTCATGTACGCCATCGCTAATGGGATAAGTGCCTTTTCGTGGAGTCGTGACCATCGCGTTCATCATAAATATTCCGATACTGATGCTGATCCCCACAACGCCAAGCGCGGATTATTCTACTCTCACTTTGGCTGGTTACTTCTTCATAAACACCCTGAAGTGATAAATAAAGGCAAAAATATCAACCTCGATGATTTATACAATGATCCCATTCTAATGTTCCATCACCGGTAAGTAACGTAAAGTTGGTAAATATACCTCTGAAAAATTGAAAATAATTAATGAATAAAGTCCTTTGCGTTTGATCTTACAGTAAAATTTGTCATACTTTAGTACATAATGCGATCCTGCATTAATTTGGTATTGAAAATCTAAATAATTTGTGAATACAATTTCATAATATAGTTAAATATTCTATGATAGAAATTATTTATATTCGTAATATCTTGTTGGTATGAAAATCCGATCATTCTTCTCGTACCTAAGTATTCTCTATTTCTCTTGTTATTTTCCAAATCCCTTCTATACATACAGTCACTATACCTTGATCCGATTCATCACCTGCATAGTCATTCCAATCTTCGTTCCAACTTACTTTTGGGGAGAGTATTGGCTGTACGCTTGGACCGCTGGTCATGGTCTTGTTCAAGTCTTCACTAGCCACTGTTCCTATACTGTAAACAGCTTATCTCATCAGTTTGGTATGAAACCGTATGACACAAGCTACCTTGCTTCAGAATGTAGATTATCGAATGGTCTTACGCTCGGGGAAGGTCATCATAACTATCATCACGCTTTTCCATACGACTACTCGCATGGTGAATTTAACAGCTTCTTACTACCTTTCAACCTTTTCCGCCTTCCTAATGGCTCGACTACCTTTATTGAAACTTGCGCTCTCTTGGGCTTAGCATACGATTTGCGTCGACCACCGAAAGAGATGGTATTGCGTAGAATGAACAGAACCGGTGATGGAAGCCTGAAAGTGGAATAATCTTTCATTTTCCGAAATCTGATAGTTTTATAGGCTTGTAGGCGCCACTCATCATAAATATTGTCGTTTATTCGTACACGATAGTATTAATGCACTTTCGTATCGCAAATATTCTATATCACTCTCTATGGCTTTATAAAATTGACTATATATTCTTCTGATATCTTGTCTTTTTACATCCATCTATTTCTTCAGCTGTTTCTCTTGACGTAATTTATCTTTTATGTACGTGTTCGATTATTGTTTTCTTATCATTTCCTAGAAGTTGTCTAAATCGATGCAGTCAGTACTTTTATAATTTATTTCTGTATATCCATCTATTTATTTCTCTCGCTATAATCTCTGCTGCTATCCTTTATATCATATCTTACGTTCTCTCCACAGAATAATAATATAATATACTTTTTCATCTGTGGAAACATTACACTTATTTCTCATATAACCTTTTTAGCACGTACTGTAATCTTTTTTAATTAAATAAACGATATTTACGAGAGTACTTGAATGTCAAATAATTATATTATTGCCGGCATGATGTTAGATAATTATAATCAGCGCATGCAGTTTTTTATGGTCTACGCGTAGATAAACATGATCATTTTACTATTATTTCTAGCGAGAAGGTACTAAAGATTCTAATAGTTATAATCAGTTCAATAATCATAATTATATAAGAGACATCAGACTTTTAGTTTGTAGACAGAAAAAATATTCTGAAATACGTTATATGGAAAAAATGTCATTAATACTGCAAAATATTAAGAAAGAAAGAAAAGGAATATGACATCAAAGGAGTTAACCAGAGACAATTAGTGGCGCAGTACGAAGCACCTTCTACGATTACGAAAAAATCTGAGGTGCCTTGTCGGAAATCAATTCTCTTAATAACCGTATTTGTTAAGAAGATAAATTTGGGCTTTCTTTCAGCGGATATGTATTGTAGAAATAATAATCTATCGAAAGAAAATGACAGCAAGATGGATAGATTTAGGACAGCAGTTGAAATTTTTGTTGTAATTATTATTAATAATGGCTAATTTAATTTGTTGATTACAGTAGGAATTAAATTACCTTGTTCGAGAATATTTCGGTACCCAATCGCTTTACCTACGTTTGCGATTTTATATTAGTTTATATATGCGAGTCCTTCGCCAGCTATTGTATAACATAGTAATTGCTGAGTTAGGTCTGTAGTTGTAATAAACATACGACTGTATTTAGGGTACGTCATATAAAGTCGGGTATTGCCACTTGAATAGAATCGCTTTTCTGCACATCTTGATACTAGCATACTAGACTTGATAGTGAATTAGCTTTAGTATCTTGACAGTATAGTAGGTATGGTACCGTACCCAGTAATAATGTTTATATTGAAATATGTCGTGAATAGTTGTTCCGGTAGAGGAATTGGACACCGATTGATTTGTAAGTATTTGTTAATTCTAATTTTGTAATTTCCACATAGGCGCACACTACCGTTAGGTTTCATTACAATTACCATTATCGTAAAATAATAATATTGATGCATATTCACATAGCAAAATAGATGACTGTTTGCCTTAAATTAAGGCGATACTGCTTCACAAGCCCATAAAAACCCATTTATTATTTCATGTTGTATCGGAATGAGATCTGCACTCGTAAGATTGCTGATTTCTTAGTCACAGCCTAACTACAATGTCAACAATTGATTAATATTATAAGCTGGATTCGCTATTGAACTGAAAATTGTTGCTTGAATTTAGTAAATTTTGTCTGATAATTAATTATACAAATTTTTTTAATTAAACACTTTTGACGCTAAATGAAGATTGCAGTTTCATCCTATATCAAATTAACGTCATCAAGAGATATTAACTTCACGTCGTTGTAAGTCACACTTCAGAGCATAATTTAGAAGGATTAGAGTTGCCATCCCTATTTTTTAAGAAAGCAAATTAGACTCATTGCCTTATCAGTGGAAGTTCGCTACTGCACCTGCATCGAGGGAAGATATCATCGTTTTTTAAGTGTTCGTTTATACGAGAGAGTACAAACGAAAAATTGTCGTTTGTGTTAAAGGTTGCCAGATTTTGCTAGTGTAGTCTTAATAACTACTTTCGTATAGAGGTTAATTTAAAGTTTTCCAACAATATGTATGTATCGTAAAAATTATCATCTGTATGAAATAAATCGATCAATAGTAAAATGGATAGATAAGTCCGATATCATATCAATTTTTCTGTATTATATGAATGTTTTATAATGCGAATTACTTTGTCTACGGATATAACGTAAATCAATTGCCTGAGCTCATCGCTATAATGCTACACAGCTGAAGGTGTGGTAACTGCTGGTATAATAATCTAACGTTTAATCTGTACATGCCATTGAATGATTAGTATGTGTTCGCGATTTAGAATCAGACTCAATTTCGGNATAAAGAAGAATCATCAATATCCGTATACGTATCATAAATTTGAGTGGACTATAAAAGTCTACCGTATCGGTTTGAAAGCAGCTGTTACGAAGTTAGTTTGTATATGATATTTTATGTATAGGCCTTAAAGCTCCTNTACTACGTCGATACGATATTTGCGTAAATAGGCTTGATTATATCATTAGTATAATGTGGTTTAGGATCTGGTCCATTACACAGCTAGATTATTATGATTGTAAGGACTTCACTACAGGGTCAGTGTTGCATGTTTGTTGTGAGCCAATAGAAAACCCGTAGCGTTGTTTACCACTTGCTAAATTGTTTTGAGATCGCAAAAAGGCCATCTATAAGAAATTACTCAATTATCGATATTGCTTGATACATTTTGCATGAGGCCACACTAAGCTTGCCAGTTGAGTAATCAAAGTTCAAAGGTGAAAAAATCAACTTCAATCTTTTTATGATCTCCGTTCCTAGAAGTATAAGTAGCTACAATAAAACATTGATTGAGCGATTTTGTTCATAAGCGTATAAACGCATGTGCCTGTCTAAATAAGATTAACGACAAAGTCTACATATTTCTCTACACGAGTATACCATAAAGTTTGCCTTAAAATTTTTAAAAATTTATTTGCTTAAAACCTCATTAGTACATTGTTATAAGGTATCAACTATTCCAAAAAATCGACTATAATGGATTCTAAAAGTACATTTAGTCACCAGGATGACGTACCAAAACTTCCCTTGCCTAAGTTGCAGGATACTTTCTACAACTATCTTGCATCTGTTCGCCCTTTTGTGAATGATGAGCAATATGCACAGACAGAAGCTCTAGTGAACGAGTTTGGCAAACCAGGTGGAATTGCAGAAGAATTGCAGCAGTATATTGCGGAAAAAGCAAAATCTTCAGATAACTGGGTAATTGAATAACGATATTGGAGTATAACATCATGGTCTATAGCTATTAATTTTTTAGTCTACATCAGTATCTACGGATCTGATACAAGTTATCTATACTTTTTTTGCAGTATTATATTTACCAATAATCGTTAATATAATACCTAAAATTCGATGCCAAATACCTAAACTCGTATTATTTGCATTGCTAATTTCTGTAGATAAAATTAGCTATTAAATCTTAGATTTTAAATTATGCTTAAGAGGGAGAATATCGAAATATATTCGCCCGAATGTTATACTTCTATGTATATTCATAGCGTAAATATCTCATATGTACTACCAATACGTGAGCCTATGCTAACTTCAATATTTGGTGGAGGAGAAATCAACCTGGCAAACACTCTTTCATGAAATTATACTACAGTAACATTTATGCCTCACGGCCCTATTTAGTCTTTTTAAAACATAGTTACTGCTATAACTACTTCATTATTAGAGCCTAGATTGCTCCTTGCAAAAACACCGCAAGCTGCACCTTTAGCTGTAAAAATAATTTATTTGCGCACAGTACTATACATCCATAGTTAATTAGTCATTTAAAACTTAACATTCTTCTCGTATATATCACACTTTTGAGGTCGGAATAAATGATATTTTCAAATACTCAACATTTTCATTTGAACGATCTCAGGTAACAGATTGGTGGACCGATTACATTTATTTAAAGAATAGAAACTCGGTTATTTTTAACTCTTCAGGCTGCATTATGGCCGGTTATGAATGGGTTACAACCGAAGATGAATACATAGAGTAAGTAAATATCATAAATTATGACGATGTTAACTGAATTAATTTAGGAAATACCCCTGTTCAAATTTCATGTTTTTCTATCCTCTTTCATCACTAAAAAGCCTAGCTGCAAAAATAGCTTTGAAAATAGTAGATTACTATTGGCTAATCTACACGTAAGAGTGTCAATCTATTAGTTGAAATAGTAAGCCTATGGATGTAATAGGTAGTAACCTGACGAACTAATTTTATACCTGCTCTAGTCAAACTCTGCCACCTGAGAATTTTGGTGGCAGATGGCAATGCATGAAACAAAAGTTATACATGTTTGGGGGTGGAAGAATTCCGAAACACGGTATAGACGTCTTTGATTGGCAAAATCTTGGAGATGACATTTCTAGGCACATTATAATTTCTCATAACAATCGGGTAATACATATTGCTTAAGCTAATTGTGATTTATGGCAAAATGATAGCTTAGATTTGCTTAGATACCTAAAAATTACGGTCTATGGAATAAAAATGAAAGAGTATCATTTTAGACTTACCGACATATTAATCCAATGCATAATCAAAAATTAGCTGCGGCTTAATGTGTCTTGATATCGCGAAAGGAAAATACTTCAAACATTAATCTTGTTAAATAATATATTTAACAACTGGACCTGGCGTTTCATACAGTAGCCTATGGTATCTTATTGATAACTGCCTAAATAAATATTTCCACTTATTTACTTTGAGAATACAGTTTTTTGCCATTGAATCGATTAAGGACAACAAGGTCATTACGTTTACAGAAATGAGAATGCAGATTAAAAGACTGATAGAAATGTCAGCTGAAGTATCAGAACCTGTTGGCATACTGACTGCAGCAGAGCGTGATAGATGGGCTGATGTACTTGAATTGTTGTTAAAAGGTATTTGATTTTGTTATGCTTATCATGAGGTTGAATATTTTTAGCTTTTTAATGTTATGTCATGTGTTATGGATCAGATCCCCAAAATGAGCAATCATGGCGAACAATTCATCGTGGAATTACGGTTTTAAGTTTAGAACGAAATTTACCTGAGATTCCTGTTAGCCCTGATCATCCAGACTATGCTGATGAACAGTTTACAATATTTGTTGCGGGATCATTACATGCTTACGGTAGCAAATATAGCGCCGCTAATCGATGGAATGATAAATGTATTGCCAATTATCTTGGCCGTTATGGATACTTTGGCTTGCTAGGAGAACATTCCAATATTGATGGATCGCCACTCTTTCTTTATAATTCCTACGTTGAGCAACAGATGTAAGCTATGATACAGTAACATAAAATCAACGAATCGTGTTTAATGAATTGCGTTTAATTTCAGTTGCTTGTTGAGCGATCATAGAATCCAAATTTGCGCATAATAAATTGGATACTCAAAGGCTATTAATAATACGAAGTTTAATTAGGATCATTTATAAATTGATTCATTTTATACTAATAACATATGTAAACCTCGATGCTATAATTTACAATAGACATGTCCACTTATCAATTACTTAATGTTCCGTATTAATAAATGAATGCAATAGCTCTAAGGTCAAGACCGACGACGAACCACCACGCGAATATTTAGATGAAGTCTCGGCGCCTCTGAAAATCGAATGGAATCTGTCTGAAGAACTGCGCTACCACATCCAGCAAACAGCAGAGACTATAGACAAGTTCGTTACAATTATTGTTGTAGTTGACTCCATAATGGCATCTTATTTAAAAAGTTCAGACTTATAGCATAATCTGTATCTTCCATTTGACGTTAATTAATTTGATATAGATCTGTCGACAGTTTATTAACCCGCGGGATGATATTCAGTGACTACGGTAAAGAATTTATTAAATCTCAGAAAATGAGTCCAGATAGTTTTATTCAAACTGCTTTGCAATTGATTTACTACAAGTAAGTTGTCCGTTATCAATATAATAGCTATTTAGCATTTACTTCCTACAGTAAGATAAATGGACTCTGATATCCCAGAGTGATCATCGAACTAATATTTAAAGTGATACTATAATTTATAAAATTAAGACTCGCAGGTCAGCTAGGAAGCCAGTACGAGAGTTGCGCTTTAAGGCATTTCGTTCACGGCAGAACCGAAACAATTCGCTCTGCAACAATAAAATCGAAGATTTTATGCGAAATTTGGACAAATCCTCATGCGACGGTAGCGTAGATACAATAAATTCTATGTTTTCATCAAGTTTCATGTAGACCTTAATTGTATTATAAATATTTGTTAAAAGCAATCAATCAGAAATTTTAAGCGTTTACAACTTGTTATAATCCAGGACAGTGAAAAGCGTGCTGCGTTTGCCGATGCTACAAAATTACATAATAAAATTGCTAGAGAGGTTAGAATAAAATATTCAAAAATTTACAAAATTTGAAAACATACAATTTTAACTAAAAGTATATCACGATATGATAACTTCACTTATGTATTTTAGGCATATGTAGGTCAGGGCTGGGATAGACACATGTTCGGTTTGAAAATAGCCGCATTAGAGAAAGGATTGCCAGAACCGGAATTATTTAGGGATTATGCCTATAAAAAGCTTAACCAGTATGAGGTTTCAACCAGTCAGGTAATCTATTGTCAACTCTGTTACGATATAGTATAAAATTACTATACTGTAGTGAGCAAGCCTGAATGAGTTTAGCTGTTTCTCTAAAAATCAGATTGTCTTAAAATTGTAGATGACTTGTGGGAAATCGTCTAATGGAGCTTTTGCCCCTTCATGCCATCATGGTTATGGAATATCTTATAGCATTCAGCCACATCAACTAAATTTTTCCTGTACGTCATTTGTAAGCTGCCCGACAACTGATAGTAAATTATTTTTAGATAAGGTACGAGAATTTTTTCGTGAGTATCGTGATATGGCAGAGCGTTTAGCTGAGGCAAATGAATAATTATTCAACTTTGAAAGGCTTATCATAGTGTAGTATGGTAAAATTTATGGTTAGATATTTGGTAAGCTGAAGCATTAGTCATCATTTGCCATGATAAAGATCATAGATTAAACCTCCGCTATAGTCAACATAGGAACTCTTTTAGGGTGCTTTCTGGCAGCTACCGTAGTAGATAAATACTGTAGTAGGATAAATAATTAATAATATAAGTTATTACTTAAGTCGTTTGCTTATGTCTTACTAACAATATTAATTACATTTTTACTCATTATTGCTATTCATGCTGTACTTGGTTAATGGAGATAAGCTCCGATTTTAAATAATAATAAATTATTTTTATTTAATAAAGCTGTAAAGCTCCATAGCATATAAATGTTCTTATTCGTAGGTATTTAGATACTAATATTTATACGCATAGATCTAAAAAGTAAATACTAGTTTTTGTTCCATAAATATTTAAAGTTTATTTCCTGTACTTAAGGCTAAGTAAGTCTTAATTAATACTTTATAGCCTAGCTGTACATCCGGTCTGTGCAAACAGACTTACACATATACCACTATTTGTTGTGATATTTCGAAAGTGCCGAGATTCGTAACTCGGAATACAATAAAAGCATGACTGCATGATTACCGATGCTGTGTAGTACTTACAATTGTGTTGGGACTATAGGCAAGAACCTCTATGATTAGGACTTGAAGTGTAAGGTTGTTACTAAAATTTAGAATTTTAAAAAAGCCTTTGTCGAGATGAGGCCAGGTGAATTCGTTAGTTGTCTAATTTTATGAGAAATCTCATAGGTTAGATCGCTATCTTATCTTGATTAATCTCTCGTTCACAGTTCTAAACCTAGTCATAGCTAACTATGTGTGATGCTATAGCGTGTTTTAACATAGACCTATATTGTATATATTTAGACGTGAGAAATGAACGAAAGCTACTCTTCATTATGCAAATTAAATCCTATGTTTAGAATTAATTCACAGTCTTGGTAATCAAACGCAGTAAATCACATTTCATATCACTGTGATTTAATTGTTGAGATAGCGCGTAAAATGGTTATTAGAGAGATGCGTTCAGAGTATCTTCTGATCGTTATTAACAGAACCCTTTACTCGAAAATAAGACTAGGCCAGAATTCTTACACATAACATATATTGTAGGCTACAATGCTAATTTACATACTGTCTGGCGAGGTCGAAGCTCTGTATTACTAATTTTATTTATCAACGGAATCGATAAACAACGTAATCGAGTTCGTGAAGGATTTTATCAAAATATTTATAGAATTTAGTGTTGTTTATTGACACTGATACTAATTGCATTACCATTTGAAATAAATTTGTATGGGATATATTTCTAGAGGTCTGAATAAGCATATCAGAATCTACATCGAAAAAAATCCCGTTCTTCTCCTATTGCATTAATATATACTAGTACAAAATCACGTCGCTTTGCTGACGGTTTGCGATAATATACCCATTTGTTAATAATTAACAGATAGTATTACCATTCGATATTATATATATCCCGTAATAGCCAGGCTCTACTATATATTCGTAGCTATGCTTCTAGAATACTACTTTTCAATAATGCATTCACGGATGAAATGCTATGAAATGCTATATTAAGATTAATTAATGGTCCAAAGCACACTATGATAACTAATGTACGGTGATGGACATACCAAGTTAAGATTAGCAGGTACTGTAAGATATCTACAGTGCGGGACAATGTCCTTAGTACTGTGGTCAATTCTATACCAATCATTATAATGTGTCTAAGGATCGCTTGCTCAGTCGATAAAAACCGTTATAAGAAAATATAAGAATCAAAATGGCTGTGTAGAAAACTCTATAAAGATTCTATGTTTATTCAATTTTCATCAGAGTATTACATCAAATCAGAATTGAAAGGCCCAGTGGCCATCCTTAGCGATATAACGAATACTATTTTAAAAATCAGTACTCTGTAGAAATTACTACCTTTTTAAGAGCTATCGTTTTACATAAAGTAATCTTGAGGTAAAAAATACTGTAAGAATCTTATACTGACCTATTGAAATGAACCCATAATCAAAGTCATCTAACAGTAGTATAAATGCCCCTCGCGCTGCTCGTGGGTGGTATGTACAGTATGTATGATAAACTGTCGCTAGAAATGGCATGATCAAGAAGATATTAAGTTAGTAAACAGCTAATATTGGGTATTGTTATCTATACAGGCCACAGTATATCATACAGTTTATCATACATACTGTATGATAAACTGTCGCTAGAAATGGCATGATGAAGACATTAAGTTAGCAAACAGGTAATACTGGGTATTGTTATTTATACAATCCACGCAGGGTTCGAATCTCATACTGTATAAATGAGAATATACCTGTCTTTGTATCAAACCACTAATTTCTAAGCAAAATTTTTTACGAAGATTGTCCACAGTATAGGCTTTAATTATTTTTATTTGGTGATATTACAATTATAAAGCGAGAGCATCCGAAACGTACGATCCATCTTCAAATATTAAAATATAATATTTATGATACAGCAGAAATAAACGTACCGTATACAAGAGGTATTGCTGTCTTCATCAAATGTGTGAAAGTTATCGCAATTAGACCGTACTGAAGTCTTTTTAACATGTAATGAAATTTATGATGTTACTGATTAGTATAAAATTAGCTTGATTAATTAACCCCTGTCGCTTCAACGGCAGAAATAACACAGTTTAAAGATCATGATTTAATCTTTGTTAATATACATATTTATGTAGTGTCCGAACTTACAATCAAATGCTGTTTATTGTAGCGTTCGCCTTGGGATACAGACTATGTGTCTGTAGGGGCAAATTGACCTATTGAACCTTTGAGAAGGGTACATAGCACATTCGATCTGCTGTACTGTACACTGTACAGTATAGCACAGATAGCTTTTTTTACATATTTACTATTTTTAATTTGCAACTCATTGAACCTTCCATGAGTTGCAAATTAAAAATAAAACTCTGATTGAGTGTAAGTATTGACCAAATCCGGCAAAATACTGCGGTACTTGAAGGTAGGTTGAGAATGAAGTGTTAATCAGATGCGAACGACGTTTTATTAGTCTCCCTTCGCCCTACACAGTATATTATCCTGATCATCTGAACCTACCTTAAATTTTTTAGATCTAACTAGAGAGGAATAACATTAGACGAGTCTCTCCAGGATAAAAGATAAATATTTATATTTGCCCCTTTACAAACATCCCGTGGTGCTTACTTGCCCCTTGCCAAACCTGTCCTATAACCTTAGATAACCAACCATAAGACATGGACATATACCACACGGAGGATAAATTAAATTGAATTATCTCATTCGATGAATCTATCGTTAAAACAACAGTGCGTTTAGTACGAAAGTCGTGCTATATCCTCAAGACATTACATTTTGCTCAATATGAGACATTTAAACATTTTTCCTGCTTTCCAAGTCGTTAAAATTCTAAATGTACTATATCTTCAAAGTATGCAAATATCCTTAAATATTTGAAATTTAATTCAGCTATCTGTTCTTTCGTAGTCCTATAACATCTTCTACCTCTAGACTTTAGTCTACTTAGGTTAATTATAGCCAATTGCTACCTTTACCCGTATCTAACCCTATAAATAAGTATGTCTATCCTTACAATATAAAATAGTCATCTTGAATCTATTAAGTAAGAATCTATTCGAGACATACGTTTCGTACATAAACAACCCTTCGTATCACTGATTGTCAGCGTTAGATTTGCTTTTTTATCTTATCGTTCATTTAGTTTCTCTTCTTGACCTCTTACGGAAATTTATGAAATTCAATCAACTACTATATTTGACTTTATCTTCAAATGCAAAGTGACATTACCCCATAGTTAACATCTCTACGTTAATACGTATACGAAATTAACTTTCTTACAAGAAGGTATTATTAGGATTTTGCATAAGCTACGGAACTGCCACCCGTAATTATCGGGAATAATTTGGAAGTATGATCTAAAATAAACATTCATAAAAGTTATTATTCTTTTATTGGCTGAAAGTCCGTATTTTCGGCTAAAGTTCAACTGGTTGACACTGTATGCCGCAGCGTGAAGACTCGATACATTACTTAAGTTGAACGAGTAAAGTTTTCAAGCAGAAACATCCGAAGGATCGCCGCTCGCTTGTAAATTCTTCAAAGAGGTTCCGGTAATAATTGCTTTCATCT